TGCATTGGTTGGTTTTTGGTCTCTGCATTGGTTGGTTTTTGGTCTCTGCATTGGTTGGTTTTTGGTCTCTTGTGTTGGTTTTTTTTGGTCACTGTGTTGGTTGGTTTTTGGTCACTGTGTTGGTTGGTTTTTGGTCTCTGTATTGGTTGGTTTTTGGTCTCTATATTGGTTGGTTTTTGGTCTCTGTATTGGTTGGTTTTTGGTCTCTATATTGGTTGGTTTTTGGTCTCTGTATTGGTTGGTTTTTGGTCTCTGCATTGGTTGGTTTTTGGTCTCTGTATGGGTTGGTTTTTGGTCTCTGTGTTGGTTGGTTTTTGGTCTCAGCTTTCGCTGGTTTTTGGTCTCTTGTGTTGGTTGGTTTTTGGTCTCTGTATTTGTTAGATTTTGGTCTGTGCATTGGTTGGTTTTTGGTCTGTTGTGTTGGTTAGTTTTTGGTCTCTGCATTGCTTGGTTTTTGGTCTCTACATTGGTTGATTTTTGGTCTCTATATTGGTTGGTTTTTGGTCTCTGCATTGGTTGGTTTTTGGTCTGTGCATTGGTTGGTTTTTGGTCTCTGCATTGGTTGGTTTTTGGTCTGTGCATTGGTTGGTTTTTGGTCTCTGCATTGGTTGGTTTTTTTATCTCTGTGTTGGATAGTTTTTGGTCTCTGTATTGGTTGGTTTTTGGTCTCTGTTTTTTTGGATTTTGGTCTTTGTATTGGTTGGTATTTGGTTTCTGCTTTGGTTGGTTTTTGGTCTCTGTGTTGTTTGGGTTTTGGTCTCTGTATTATTTGGGTTTTGGTCTCTGTGTTGTTTGGGTTTTGGTCTCTCCATTGGTTGGTTTTTGGTCTCTGTGTTGGATTTTGGTCTTTGTCTTGGTTGGTTTTTGGTTTCTGCCTTGGTTGGTTTTTGGTCTCATGTGTTGGTTGGTTTTTGGTCTCTGCTTTAGTTGGTTTTTGGTCTCTGCTTTGGTTGGTTTTTGATCTCTGTGTTGGTTGGTTTTTGGTCTCTGTGTTGGTTAGTTTTTGGTCTCTGTGTTGGTTGGTTTTTGGTCTCTGTGTTGGTTGGTTTATGGTCTCTGTATTGACTGGTTTTTGATCTCTGCATTGGTTGGTTTTTGGTCCCTGTATTGGTTGGTTTTTGGTCTCTGTGTTGGTTGGTTTTTGGTCTCTGCATTGGTTGGTTTTTGGTCTCTTGTGTTGGTTGGTTTTTGGTCTGTGTATTGGTAGGTTTTTGGTCTCTGTGTTGGTTGGATTTTGGTCTCTTGTGTTGGTTCGTTTTTGCCTATGTTGGTTGGTTTTTGGTCTCTTGTGTTGGATGGTTTTTGTTCTCTGTTTTGGTTGGTTTTTTTGTCTCTGTGTTGGTTGGTTTTTGGTCTCTGTGTTGGTTGGTTTTTGGTCTCTTGTGTTGTTTCGTTTTTGCCTATGTTGGTTGGTTTTTGGTCTCTGTGTTGGTTGGTTTTTGGTCTCTGTGTTGGTTGGTTTTTGGTCTCTTAGTTGGTTGGTTTTTGTTCTCTGTGTTGGTTGGTTTTTTTGTCTCTGTGTTGGTTGGTTTTTGGTCTCTGTGGTGGTTGGTTTGTGGTCTCTTGTGTTGTTTCGTTTTTGCCTATGTTGGTTGGTTTTTGCTCTCTGTGTTGGTTGGTTTTTGGTCTCTGTGTTGGTTGGTATTTGGTCTCTGTTGGTTGGATTTTGGTCGCTGTGTTGGTTTGATTTTTGTCTCTGTGTTTTTTGGATTGTGGTCTCTTGTGCCGTTATGCATCACTCTACATTATGTTGCACTCCTGTAGGAGGAGTTTTGTGTTTTTCTGCAGTGTGTTTCTGTGTGTGGGAAAAGAAAAAAAAATACAATCAGTAAATTGAGTGTTGTTGCTCTCATGTTGGCTAACAACATTTTCAGGTAGTGCTTACCTGATTACAGCACTCTCTCTCTCTCTCTCATCCACCATTAGAGTCTTCAGCGTTTCACTCTGATTACTGAATTTAATCCGTCCTGCAGAAACACAGCTTGGTGGTTTTGGAACAGAAACCATGTTCTTTGTGTCTGAGGCCAGCGACTAAAGCCAGAACACTTTTCTAAAAAGATTTATTTTTATAGAAGTATAAAGGCAACAGGGTGTGGGGTGGAATGTTACTGCCAAATCATCTGTTTTATGTTGGCAAGGATGTGGAGAAATTCTAAAACTCAGTCATATGTTCTGGTCTCGTAGTTAAAGCACTTTGGTTGAAAGTGGGTTGCTGGATTAAAAAAGTCTAAATTGGTTGAGATTAGATTTGCAACATTTTGTAGAGTTAATATGCAAGAAAACATTAAAGCTTCTCAGAAGAAACAGCAATGAGAGGTAAGTTTCTGATTTTTTAAGTTTAAAACTTTGAATAGAATCTTTTTGAGAAGTCAAAAGAAAACAGAAGTGTGAAAGACGAAACGGAAAGGCTGCAGGAAAGATGTAAAAAGTGTTCCATGCTTAAAAGAAATGAGTGATGGAAGAAGGATGAGTGATGAGACGGAGAGAACCACCCACATGAAATAAAAAGGTTCTGCTCACTGCACTTTCATTAGACTGCAGCCTTTATTGGCTCGCTGCTCATTTTAACCATTTCTGCTGATCTTAAGTTTTTCCATCCAACTTTTACACCTTCTGCTGATGCATGTGTTTGACTAAAGTAGAAACAATACGAGATGAAAACAGTGTGGTTCATCCATCCTGGAGTTTACAGTAGATCTGCTCCACATGGTTCAGACCTGTGAGTTTTAAACTGCCGGCACACTTGTGTTGCATGTTTGTGTGACGTGCTGCGTCGGTGCAGATGCGAGTTGTGCTGAATCAGCAGTGACACCCATCAACACCTCAGGAAAGAAGCAGGAGTCAGCAGATTGGAGCTCCTCCACCTGCAGTAATGCTCCTCAGTGGGTTTGGTTTGTGTGTCAGTTCTGACTGACCACTTATTAACTGGGGGGTCATTTTCCTGTCCTGCTCTGGTTTCTGCTTTCATTTTGTGGTCACGTTTTGTTACAGGTGTTTGTTTATAATTTCTAAGAAGTGTTTTGTTCTTTGCATCACGTTTTCCTACTGCAGGAACTAAAGGCACCAGCTGCAACATTAAACACATCTTGTGCTCCTTTTTTATGGCACTTAACGATATTAATTTTCACAGATGACTTTAGAAGGTCTGAGAGGCTGAGAATAAATCACATGGCTTCAATTTATTTGTTTATTTATTTTAATTAAAGCCTCTAAAAGCTAAACGATTAACATAATTTAACTAGATTCAGAGTGTATGTTTTTATTATGCCTCCGCCAATTAGGGCTGGAGGCTCCACCCAATGGGGCGGGAGGCATACTCTTACCTGGCTGTCTGTGTTAATGCGGTGTCCGTCCATCACCGGGCGGTCTTGTGTGCATGATATCTCATAAATTTGTTACTTATAAATAGGCGTAGAAACTCCATTAGGGTAGTACTCAGTCTGATCAAGGTCGGCGTCAAGGTCATTTATGATTGGTAACATAAAACCGGCCTTTTTTTCTAATTCCTAGAAAGTACAAATAAAACACCTGGTTAAATTATATGGCTAATATCAAATTAGGAATTTGTGTTTAGACATTGTTGATAAAGTCACATACTTCTTAGAATATTTAATTCCAAAAAATCGAGGTAAAAAGGTAACTGCATGCTCAGTGCTTTAAATGCAGAGGGCTCTAGGGCAGGGAGAGGCATACCAGTCCATGCTTCGACATCGAGTTCTGTCTTGTTCCTATAGATTTAGTAAATCTTTAGGTCCCATACTTGTTTATTCAGAATGTTATGCAGATTTTACAGATACTGTATTGAGCTAAGACTTAATGTGGTATAGCTGGCAGTCCTCTTCTACACGTAATCCAAGCAGATCACACATCAGTGTTGAAAATGTTAACTTTTTTCATGGCGTCTAAAGTAAAAGAGGAAACTTCTCCTCCGGCTGTCGCTCAGTCACAGAGCGTAACATCCTGATAACACAAGCAAGGACAAAATATTTAAATTATAAGGAGGTTAAGATGGGGCTTTTTTAATGCCATGGTTCTACACATCTTAACAAAAGAGCAGAACGTTTGAGGGAACCAGGAGCTCTGCAGTTTTTAGTTTGGAACTGGAACTTTTTAATGAGGTAGATGATGTGCAAACCTGTGGAAAAGAGGAAAACAATCTAAACTGGATGAGCTGAGTGGATACAGTGTTCACCTGGAGGGGAATGAAGGTAAAGGATTATTAGAGGAACATGCACTGAAAATGATTGTATTCTAACATGGACCTGCTGTATATAGAGTATTAGGAATAACAGGAGAGCAGCTGTTGAGTCTGGAGAAGTGATGGAAAAAGATAAGGTTAGACTTTATCTGCATTGCCGTACCACCGTCAGTGGAGCAATGTAAAGCAGTCAGCATAAACCCCCCCCCCCACTTTGCAGATCCTACACTCATCTGCATTCCAGCAACTCCTCATCCGCTGCTGCAGAATTAATGTCATCCATTTAATTTAATCTCCTCCACATAATTTAGGCATTAACAAACCATCAACAATGTAACCTGCAGCTAGAAGCAGATGCACATCATTTCCATGTCTGTTAAAAGTCCAGACTACAGAATATACGAGTGCTTCTCTGCATCGCAGAGGAAATATCATCCGTGGTAGTCGTGCCTTAAAGAATAATTCACTGTATTTACACACGATCTGCTCCCAGAAGCAACAAGACGCTGACATTTTTCTAATAACACAGACTGACGTTCAATTCAGAAGTGACAAAGTTTAATATTCAATGACATCATGTTCTTTCACATCAGTATGTTGTGTTTTAAACCTATTGAGCTAGCCATTAGCTTAGCCTAGACCAGGGGTGTGCAACCTTTACGATCAAAAGAACCATTTCTGCTCTGTGGTTCACTAATAACATCGGGAGCCTAAAAACATGCTACAACTGTGATTATCAACTGGTGGTCCATGGGCCACTTTGCGTTTGTTGGAGGGGGTCTTTTCCGGCCACTGGGGGTTATCTTATAATACTAAAAATATATAGTGAATTTTAAGGTTTTTTATTATTTCTACTGTTTAGAACAACAACAAAATAAAAACATATTTGTGTAAATAAGAAAAATACTGGACATACAGTAGTTTGTGGAGTGGTGTCGCAGAGGTTGGTGAAGATGAGTCTACAACTCTCCGAACCAACCAGCCCCACTTTGGGCCCTTGAGCAAGGTCCTTAACCCCTCAGCTGCTCTGCTCCACGTGTGTTAACAGGTGCGATGGGTAAAATGCAGAGAATTAATTTCCCCTCTGCAGTACGATAAAGGCTAATAAAATCTAAACATCTGTACCAAATTTAATAAAAAGTCACAACTGAAACAAACTGGTGTATTTTTTTCTAATTCTTATTATTACCGAGTCTTAAAGCTCTTTAAATGTGACTGTGATGGATTTGTGAAAAATCTATATTAAGGCTGAAAGTTGGATTACTGAAGTGGCACACATGCTATTAGCATGATCTAATCAACATGTTTTGTAGTTCAGATCACATGTTTTAAAGGTGACCTAATATGGGGGTCCTAGAACAAGTTAGGATCCATCAGTGGGCTCTACAAAACATGTTCATTTGATTTAATTCACAAAATTAATCTCAGATAATGAAATTTCACCATTTCAGTTCTGCCTGTTCTTCAGCTCTTTTCAGAAGCTGCTGCTTTGCATTAGTTGCTAAAACCCTTAAAATTCACTATATATTTTTAGTATTATAAGATCACCCCCAGTGGCCGGAAAAGCCTCCCTCCCTACCTTCTGTTTACATTAGCTCCGCCCCCTGCCAGTGTCTTTTCAGCTGAAAGTACTATTTTTCCAAAGTAGTTCATGGTGAAATTATTTACACAAACTTTCTTTAATATTGATAGCACATTGCCATCAAAAATAAAATTAAAATCAATCCACACATCTCTGTTCTCCATGACTGTTCTAAAACAGCAGAACCGTCCTGTGAAGAAGTGGGCGGAGTCTCTGCTTGGGTTACAGGAGCTGGGCTCAGGTTGGGGTGGGCTGGAGTGCGACTTGTGACATCACAACGAGCTGTGTTTCAAATCAATTCAAGATACAGAAAAATACATTATCTTATAGTAAAAATAACTCTTGAGTGCATTTGTTGGTGCTTGTACCATTTTTAGAAGCAGTACAGACCCAAATGTAAGTTAAAAAAAATTGGTCCCCTTTAAAAGATGTTGACAAAACTGTTAAAACCAGACTTTTCTGTTGCGAGTATAAAAAAAACGTAATGTCATGTTAGCTTTGGTCAAATCCTCAACGATCCGCTGCAGAGGGACCAAAGTGTGGTCCCAGAGCCGCAGGTTGCAGACCCCTGGCTATTAGCCTATAGCCTGGTCAAAAACTTCAGCCCTTTTTTTTCATGTTATTTCTCTTATATTGACAGTATTTTATAAGACATAGCGTGAAATATCTGGTGTCTTGTTTCCAAGTGAAGCTAAAACAAAGTCTTGATTGAATCCTTGTGATTAAAGCTTTCAGCTCCGGTGAACAAAGGGTTAGCTGACGTCCCGTATGGCCCGGCTCATTTAAACCCAGCTCACTGTGTACTGGTCTCATCTGTTCCAGTTCATCCTCTGCTCTCTGAAGGTCATCCTGGCTGTGAAATAATTCAGTGCAAATAAATTAGAAATGGGAAATTGCAGGTCGTTACACAAAAGGGCAGATGCTTACAAGATGCTCCGGTCATCGTGTTCTTCCTGCTCCTTCCCTGCGAGGAGGACGGCCTCTAATCTGCCCCTTTGTTGTACTAATAAGCATTCAAACTGTACCTGAAGTGGAACACTTAAAAGGGACTTTTCAGCTTTTGAAAACAGCAACAACATTTGTGCTTCAAAGGAAGCCTCTGTTAGCCGTCAGTAAGTCGGTCATTTTTGATAACGGTGGTAACTGGAGGCAACAATTGGTCTGTCAGCTGTGGATAAAGGGAGAGCTGACAGAGGAGACTTCTTTTCTTCCTTTTACAAACTTGATGCTCTGATGAACGGATCTCTGGTTTGTAACCATGAGAGCCGCCCGCTGTCTGTCTGTGCAGATGAGCTGACAACCGGTCATTCAGGGGGAGTTGTCGGTGGTCAGATTTGGGATTCGGGACGTGTGTCGCTCCCTGGCAGTGATTTGTCACTCCACTTCAAAGAAGGCAAACTGTGCTTGAACTTGACAGGATGAAGAGCTACAAGTGTCTGAAGCAGCAGTGTGGGTGTGTGGGTGTGCTCGCAGCCTCCGAGGATTTTAAACATTTGGGGGCAGAAAAATCAACTCTGAAGATTTTCTTCTTGTTGTTTACTTGGTTACATTTAAACCTCCAGACTGTGAGAAACTAACCTGAGTTTGTTGTGTTTTTTGTATGAATCTCAATCTGTTAGAGATTATTATAAAAAGATTAGAGAAAAGTTGTGCCTTTCTAAACCAAGCTGGTGTTTTTTACTGCTCGATCATTCATCTTTCCAATGAATTATTAATTGCTGTTATTAATCAGTTTCACTACCTTTCAACTTTTTAAGCAGCGAGTTTAGAAAATAATTG